GTTTGGGCCACACTAAAAACTCAGAAAAAAATGTATCAATAAACACACTTTTCTAACAATTACCAGGTTGGTAGGTAGTTAAGGGAAGATGTATAAGCTGGGTTCCTTCATCCCAAAACATAAACCAAAGAAAACAAAAAGCTATATGTTGAATACATGCTTATTTTACCTTACCTTTATCTGATACATTTTTTTAAATGATATACCCTGTAAAGTGTCTTAAGATGACATGCTGTGAACTGGCGCCATAAATACACTGAATTGAATTAAATATACAGTCCATTTTGAAAGACAAAAACCACCAAATTTAACGATGCTTGTTAATTAATAACTAGAACATTCTCCATAATAGAGAGTTAGAGAGTTAGTGAGAGGTAATAGCACAACTGTGATGCTGAACCGTATGAAGTATTAAAGAACAAGAATAATAGACACTGGTCACAATCAGATTTGTTTCAATCCCTTTTGAATTAGTAGTAAAAGAATTAATAACAAATAATAGACAGCTATACTCAGTATAAGATGTTTAAAATGAAGGCAGAGACAGCACTGATGTGTTAAGAAGTATTTAAAGAAACTGTATGGTCTATGACATGAGGCATTTATGTGGTTCATTTAGGCTGCAGGAGAGGGAGAGAAAGCAAACCTTTAGTAGATAAAGACTCAAGTTTTCAATTCTCATCCTTTTGAATTTTCCACATATCTCTGTAATGGAAAGGCCTGATGTGAAACACTATGGGGCGTCAGTCAGGAATTAGAACTGTAGAAATGTTTATGCCAGTAGCTCACTCTTGTTGAATACCAGAGTATTCCATACTTTCCTATGGAATTATCTTGCCTGTTGGGTTATTATATTCTATTTATCTATTTTTTTATAGATCGGTAAATGTCTAATAATCTTAAATTTAAAAGAGCTTTTAAATAATGGAGGAGTCAATTTTGGTAATGTTAGACGTGATTAAAGTGGAAAGAGAGAGTTGAAGTAAGCATCCAAATCAATGCATGTTAGCAAGAAGTTAGCACTTTTCCACGCAGCAGTAGCTGTAAAGTCCTGTTACAATGGACTCTGAACAAGCAAGGTTTCGAGCTCACTAAAAAACAAGAAAACCCTTTAGGGACACATTTACATGCTTCTGGTTATTTTAAAGGCGAATCCAAATAAAAATCGCAATTTTGGTTTGGATAAAACAAAAAAAAACAAAAAAAAATTTTTCTGAAATAAATAAATAAATAAATCGTTCAGTCCTGACAAACTGATTTCTCTGTTTATCTGATTTTAATGAAACTCTCAAAAGTGCAACAATCCCTTGCAGTTTCATAAAGCTATTTGATATTGAGTTTAAACTAGGGCTGAAACGATTCATCGAGTAACTCGAGTAACTCGATTACAAAAAATCCTCGAGGAAATTTATCTGCCTCGAAGCTTCGCTAAATTTATTGTATTGTAATAAGCAATGCTGTTAAATACGCAGCACACTGGTCTAGCCGGAGGGTTTCTGTGTTGCACAACGCTACCACTTCCGTTAGCGCCTGGCGCGCTTGTGCTAAGTTTGTAGCTATGGAGGGAACCGGAGAAAGCTCAGAAGGAGAACCCCGAAAGCGACAAAAAATGTCCAAAGTTTGGGAACATTTTAGGCTAAACAGAAAGGACAACACAGCGCAATGCATCCACTGCAAAGCAGAATTGGCGTACCACAACAGCACGACATCAATGTTGCAGCATCTGAAGAGAAAACACCCGCTACATGCATCCAACTCGTACACGGTTGCCAACAGGTAACGTTTATGTTCTCTTTGCTAACTACGTTGTGTGATAATCTGCCATGTTATAGATGTAAATTGAGGCACATTATTTTGCTAACGTTACATCTAAACATAGCGGTTACTTAACCGGGTGTAGTGTAAATTGTACGTGAGGGTGGAACTGAGAGAAATTATGCAGGACTTAATGTAAGTTTGTTAATAAAAATACGCAGCAACAGATTACAGGCATAAGCTGAAAAGCATTTATTTATTGGTGTCTTTCCATCCTGAAAAGTTACAGTCTTTTCTTCTCGCTACTGTTATGTATGAATTAGAAATTTTTGATTAATATTTTTTGTAGTAATTCTATATTTGTTTATACCTAAGCAATCAAGAATAAATAATAGCATCGTTTTAATAAAAATAGCAACATTTTTGCATTTTATCATGACTAGTTAAGGCTGCAGAACTCTGTACAAACTCAAACCTTTACATTTAGACATTTTTATAAGCATATTTATGAGCCTGCCACTTTATTATTTGAATATAATTTAATATCTTATAACTTTTCTTCAGGTTAAAGCAAACTACTGTTACAAGTAAACTTTCTAAACTACAAACATTTAACTGTTAGGGATGCTCAAAAAGGAGATATTGGACTGATCTGGACTAACTGGTGTTATTGCAGATTTGCCAATAGTTTATTTTATAAATTTTTTTTATCCGATTACTCGATTAATCGTAAGAATAATCGATAGATTACTCGATTACTAAAATATTCGTTTACAACAGCCCTAGTTTAAACATCCAAAGTTCTACGTTGCATTTTAATAATAGACAAAAATGATTTAATTGTTCTCTATTAATGAAACGGTGGGCTTTTTCCAAATTTGTCCAAGTCTAGCATCAAGTTAAACAACTGTTATATAAACCTTGAATGATGAAAATTACATGCCTAGTAAAATTAAATGCAAGCAAGAAGCTACATGTAAAGTTATACAAGAGTCAAAGAAGCCATGAAATTAACTGCAGGATTTGTTTTGTGTCAAATTGTGAAAGATTTGGCTCTTTATCCAAACTAACACTAACAAGAACCCCACTGTGTGATCCAGAGATCTACACCTAGATGCTCCACTTCCACTCTACATAGGATGCAAGCAATGGCGTAACGAAACAACAATAGGCCCGTAAGCAACATTATCTGGGTGGGCCCCATATGAAGTACACATAAGTACCTCTTTTTGGTATCCATTGTCCCTAACACATTGTACGTAACGGTTATGGTTATAATCTATGCTCTGGATTACCCATAATTCCAAGTCGTATTGTAAAAAATAAAATACTCAAATACATTGTTCTTTTAAGATCTTAATTGCGGTTTGAAACATAGGAGTGTGTTTTTTACCAACCAACCGTCAAATGAACTATAAAAAGTTGTTAACACTAGCATGGTAAACCAGACTAAATGGGAGATTAAATGTGTTATTTAGTCTGGCCCCAATGAATCAGGCATTGGAAGATTGTTGATGAGAACAACCCCTTGTTTATCAAACCGCTGTCTGTGCCTATTGGCCAACACTCGGACCAATGAGCGCGACTGACTGTGACCTAGTAAGCGCGACAGAAAGCTGGTGGGGGAGTGCAAACAAACAGCCTGTCGGTAAAACGGCGAATATGTCCTTCTCAAAAATGAATGAACGTAGAGCCTCTTCCTGCTCACGTTTCAACGAAGACCCCAAGTCTAACCCTTCCAAAACTGATTCCAAAGCTGAGTCAAAAATCGCCATCAGAAACCTGCTGCTGCCGCAGTGCACGCTACTTTGTCATGCAGCTTTGTCGTCACGCCCTCAAAACCCCACCCGCTTTGCATCCAGACATTCAAAACGTATCTCTGCATTGTGATTGGCCCGCCAGATTTAGGGCCTGAGGCATTGATGGAGGCTAGACCCACTCGCAGACAAAAATGATTATGGCCGCTGGCATGTGGGACTAGTTTAGTAGTCTTTATTAACACAGTAATTAAAAGTACCACTGTCTGCTTTGCTATTGGTGTTGTGTTTAAACGACTCATCATCACGTTGAAATCTGCCATGTGTTGGATATAAATAAGGTCCAGTCATCTGCAAAGATATGTCCCAGTTCACAATTGCGTAGGGGGCCAACCGGGTGTCAGTGATGGGGCCCCAAAGAGATCAGGAGCCCCTAAGCAACTTCAGTCTCTGCATACTGATAGTTATGCCATTGGATGCAAGGTACCTCTGTCTGTGGAGGAGCAGATGGTTCTTCTTCAACCCAGCACTTCCTCCCAGTTGGAGCATCTCTCTGACAGATGGGCCCAGGATCCTGGACCAGGCTAATCTCTAGCACTCCTCCACTTAAAGGCACAGTGGAGCTACAGCTCTACCTCCTCAGTCCCCACAGAGCCAGGATCATTAGGACACATCAATAAAGCAAGGCTCTTACAGCTCGAACGATCATGCATTTTAAAAAGGTTCCTGAATTATACTGCAGTTTTGCTGTAAAGGACAGAAGCAGGAGGCTAACTGCTTTCAGTTATCCCACAGTACTAACATTATAGGGAAACAGTACAGCGGAACAAAGGATAAATATCTGGAGAGATGGATTTCCTTAAATTCAAGGATACAAAATAATTTTGCACACGTGACTTCATCGTTCAATTTCAAACTGAAATTACTGTCACTTGTTTAAAATATATGAATTCGCCAGTATTGCTTTCAAATACAAAATGCCTCCTCCCTTTCTTGCCCCCTCTGCCTGCTTGAATTGCTCTGACAACGTCTGCGCTCCTTGAGAGCCAAAGTTGATATGTAGAAAATTCCTACAACTATAAACGACTTTGGGAATGCCAGGATATATTCCTCTGCTGAGCCAGTTCGAAGTGAAATCGGCTTTTAATCATTCGCCGCGGCCAATCGGCACGTTGTCGACAGTTTTCAAATATATTAACAACCCAGGAGAGGCGACAGTCTGCACGAAGCGAGTTGAGGAAAAGCCCCCCTTAGTGCCGAGACAATATCAAACAGCCGTAGCTTATCTTGGAATTTTAATGTTGAAATTTGGCAGATAAAAAGAACAGCAGAGGGCTACTTTGCCATGAAAGAAGTGCAGAAAATACACCCAACGTCGTCTGCCTCACACAGACGGCTCGAAATGACGCACACGGACGGACACGACCAATATACTGAGTTGGCAGCAGAGAAATTATTCACAATTTGATAAAAGTCTAAGTTACTTACGCTTTCAGTGGATTCTGAATGACAGCCGCCATTTTGCTACAATAATGTAACGCAATATCGGCGTCTTGCAGTTCTGAGGGAAATCTAGGGAAACTGACCAATCGGAACGCGAGGCGAATTCGTGGACAAATCCCTGGCAGGCGTGAGCAGATGGGGCGTGGCTTAAAAGGGGTAAACTGTCAAAATTATTTTAAAGGGTTTTCCCTTGTATTTATGTGGTACACAACTGAATTTCAGAACATTTAAAGAGACCATCACTGTATACCAAATGCTGACTATGGATTTTTTGGTGTGGCAAAACAGCACAATGTAAATAGCAATAGATATTTATACTCAAAATTTTTTTATTATGTACTAAAATAGGTATAAATCATTTATAATTACCACATTTTTTTCCCTCTACTCATTATCTGTGGCTGTGGTGTTTAAGAGGAATGAAGTGCACACAATCTCTTCCTCCCACATACAGTATGTGGAGAGATATAGAACACACACACACAGACACACAAGCACTAAAAAACATGGAGGCAGCTCCAGATTATGTTTTGACAGGCGGTTGCTGACACAGCTTTAATCCTTTGCAACTCCATCACTTTAAGTTAGACAAACACTTTAAAGTTAATCAGTCATTCACACTTGTCTTTGTGTTGATAGGCGATAAATCAAAACATAATGATATGAGCATAAAGGTCTAAAACATTACTCAGTTTTGTGCATTATAGGTAGAGCAGAAGAGCGTTTGATTTAACTTTAGGGGAAATACATGTATTTGAGACCAGGCCCAGAACTTTAGAGATTAAAACAAGATATTTAACTTTATCCACAAAGACTTGCATTTCCTCACTGTGTGTTGCAGGACATCACCGTTAGTAGACTGGTTACTCAATAAAACTACTTAATGTGAGGCTAGGTGTTGTAATGGCAACATTTTCATATGACTCTGTCTTTCTTAGCCTGAAAAAGTAAAATAAATACAATAAAGAATGGGTAGCATGATTTCCAACACAATAAATATACATATACAGTGATGCTAAAACAAACAAAACAAACAAAAATACCTTTAGGGAAAAAAAAAATTACATATGCGAGAAGTTTGAAGCTCCAATAGTCATTATAATAGTGTCTTGTAAAAGTATTGGCACCCCTTGAATATTTCCCTACTGTGATATAAGGTATTATCTAAGTCTTTAAACAAACACTTCAAAGGGTGCTATAAAATCCATAATTTAAGGATCAAACAGTGTAGTACAATTAAAAATCCCATTTAAGAGTGAATTATTCAGACAAGGAGGCCAATGAGTATAACAGCTCAAAATTTTCCATGAAAATATAGGCTGCACAAAAAAAAATATGTAAATGCTCAGATGAGATGCAAATAAAATTTTTGAGCTTAGGCTATGTTGAGGAAAAACTGACAACACACCCTGAACTTCCAGCAGCTTTCTACTCTGCAGCTCCTCTTATGAACATGTAACAGGGCAGCGGGTCGGAGTTGATCGGGAAATGATGAAGATAAGTACAGGGCATACCTGGGAGAAACCCTCTAATGGCCTACAAAAGACTTGAACATAGTTTACCATTCTAGAACAATAAAAAAAACACACATCATGCATACAAAAATACAAGGAGTTGTTAATGTCGATGTGTATTCATTTTTTCATCAATTTGTAGAATTAAGTCAATCAGGTGTTCTGTCAGATGAGCATACCCAGTCAGACCAGCATACCAATAGTCAATACCCCTTATCCTTTAGTTTTTTAAGAAAAATAAACCTTAAACTACCTCAACGGGCGTGTATCCCTTTAGTCTTGTACAAAACAACCACAGACTTTTTGAAGTCTATGATGATCTGACCTTAAATTTTATTTTTTTTGTACATGACTAAAGGGACACAATCCCGTCAAGTTAGTTTAAAGTCTGTTTTTCGTACAAAACTAAAGAGATAAACACAAATCTGACATCTTACCAATGCGTATTAACTATGGGTATGCTGATCTGATACAACACAGGAAGTCTGGAATATAAATGCCCACCAATGCTATTGATCCAATTTAAATTTGAAATAATTTATCAAAGAGTAGGTAACTTATTCAATTTCTAGAAGTATGGTACTCAGTTGCTACCTCAATGGCAGCTCTATCGGAGTCAAACAGTGACATAGCATTAACTCTGAAGACATTAGTGCTTTCTTTTCAGCTATACTTAAAAACGATTTGTTACTTTGTGTTGGTCTATCATGAGGAATCCCAGTAGAAACGGATGTGACAGTATGTTATGAAATGTTTTAAAAACATTAAGGGGTTTTAAATACTTTTTCAAGGCACTGTACTATTGTTCAGTTCTGAACAATGAACAAATATTATGGATGTTGTTAAAATCTGGCATGTCATTATCTATTAACCTGAGCAAGAAGTAAATATATTGAAATGCAAGCAAAAATAAAATGTTAATATAAGATCCAAACATATTCTAACATCTACACTCTAAAATGCCACCTGGTTAGAGAGATGATGAGGTTTATTCAGGGATATACGGTATATCCCATTTCTGAACAAGTCAAAAGGCCATAGATCTCTCAGACTAAAATGCCAGAAAATGTGCTTACAAGCTTTTTTTTTTTTTTCTTTACATGATGAACACTAGAATATTTTCAACAAGTATAATCAACACCTTTGTGAGTCCATACAACCACAAATAGCATGACATAAGGTAAACATTGAAGTTGCACCTACACAATGACCTGAATACATTTTGCACACCAGATATCCAATATCTGACCCTACTGCTGCAGAATTCAGCCCAGCTTGGGTCAGTGTTCTTCCTCTGCTGGATACCTAAAGGTTGCCATGTTAAGCAACAGCCTATAATAGCTGCAAAAAAGACTTAGTGCAAAAACTAAAATCCTGCAATGCATGCATGCAACAAAACCCGCAGTTATGCCTTCCAAAATACAAGATATCACACTTTTACACGCTCAACATCAGCAACGAGCAACCCAGATACACATTGCTGGAGTTATACTCACAGCAATCAACCATCCTCTTCTTCAGTCCTTCCAATGATGCATTTTGTTTATACCCTCTAATAATAGAAAAATACCTTGACGGCTTTATTTAACAGAAATGTTGTGGATTTTTGCTCATTATGATTGAAATATGAAGCTCAAATTCAGTTGTGACATTCAGTCAGTTAACCCCAGATTCTGTGTGTTCTAGAAAGACCACAGGAACTCTAAATTCAACTTATCTAAAATATTAAAGTATTCCCTAAGCTTTCCTTTTCATAGAGCAGGTGTACACCTAGACAGTGACAGACTGCCATCTGGGAGAACGCTTCTCTCCCGATGCTCAGGGGACGGAAAGGCAACCACATCAAAGTTCTCCAAGTTTCTGGTTGCAGCCGTCACACACGCGAACAGGGTGGTCCCAGCCCCGGGAAGGGACTGCTCGTCGCTGTGGAGAGCATTCGTCGCACACTCCTTGGCCACAGGCACGGCAGTGGTGCTTGGAGAGCTTGGCAGTGAACTCACGCTGGCAGTTGTGGCACGACAGGATGTCCTGGTCAGGCACCCAGTAGGCTGGGCGAGCTGCGTCTTTTACCAGGCCTGCAGAAACATTTAGAACAAAAGATACCTGTGATAAAATACTAAGATTTCTTCAACATTACATTAGAAAGATTAAAATTATGGCTAATTTCGCTTGGAAAAGAGACCAATATCGAGATGGAATTTAGTCTGTCTGGTGACATAATATAGAGGGTTAAAGTGGACAGAGAAATAGCCACTAACTCCTTCTCATTTTATTTAGAAATATTTCAGACCAAACAGTTGGATTTGCTCAACCAGTAAACACAATTCAAGATGTCATTTATGTTACTTCTGAAATTTCCAGTAAAAATATTAAGCTCAGAATCAACTGAGATAAAAGGTGATTTTGTTCTTGCTCACTGTACAGCAGCAAATCAGATTTCAGATTCTCTACAGGCTCCGCCCTCATCCAACCCACTTAGAGTGATTGTTTAAGGTGTCAATATTTCAATTTTATTTTAAATATAATCATGACTACATAAAATTAATGAATAGTGAAATACTTACATGCAATTTAAATACATTTATTTGAAAAGATGAAAGTTCTTTTTCATTATTTAAAATGTGTACTGAAACTTTTAAGCGCACATTTAGTTATCAAACAGGACATTATGCCTCAATTCCTTGGTATAGCAATTTAATTTGTTTTTCTTTGATCCTCCACAACAGAAAGTATTAGAGCTGAAATACTAGTTATAGTGTATTAGAGAAGAGTACATTCTTCATAAATGTTGATTACATACTGTAACCCCATCGAAGTCTATATGACATGGAACTATTTTACATTTTGTCATATTCTAACCATCCATCCATCCTTTTTCTTTCCACGCTTAATCCCAAGTGGGGTCCTGAGGGGTGCTGGTGCCTATTTCTGGTGGGCGAGAGGCAGGGTCCACCCTGGACAGGTCGCCAGTCCATCACAGGGCGACACAGAGACAAACAACCATTCATGTAAACACTCACACCTATGGACAATTTAGAGAAGCCAATTAACCTAACAGTCATGGTTTTGGACTGTGTGAGGAAGCCGGAGTACCCGGAGAGAACCCAAGCATGCTCACGGAGAACATGCAAACTCCATGCAGGCCGGGAATCGAACCCAGAACTTTCTTGCTGAGCAGCCCCATATTATCAACAGAAAAGTCTATTTATTTAATTGGGTTTAATGTGATAAACCAACACAAAAAAGTGCATAAATCCACAGATTCTCAATTGGACTTAGACAGAGCTAGGGCTGAAACAATTGATAGGATTAATTGTGATCATTGTAATAATACTTAACTAATGTATAACTAATTTAACTAATTTTAATCGTTAACTTAAGTATATAGACTGTAAAGCATGCCTTTAGACGACAGAGCAACAATTTTAGTAAAAAATTCTATATTTATTTTACCTTTAAGATAAACAATATTTTCCTCTGTCAGCATGCTCTATCCATAACTCCTCATGTGAAAATGTTTTAGTTTCACTGGTTTAATTTTTTTTTTTTTTTAAAGGCTTCTTTAAGGAACCCTTGGCTATCTGATTATTTATCGAATAAAAGAAAAAAAACAAAAATCAACAGATTAACTGGTTTGCAAAATAATTGTTTGTTCCAGTCATAGACAGAGCCATTCTAACACACGTAGTTTGCTCTAAACAAATTTTTCACCTCTGTTGTAACAAATCAAGGTTTCAAGAACTGACTAAAACTGTGAAGCATCAAATTAACAGTTTCTCTATTTGCTCACTGGAAGTCATGAACTCTGAGCTGAAATATCCCAACATATCCTTAAATGTATGCAATACTTTCTTTAATTTAGATGTACAAGCTATAAATAACCTGAACTGATTTTTGCTGAGTCTAAATACAGTCACTAGAAAATGACTCATGATGCATAAGCAGTGTTCTGGTAGAACAATTGAGCAGATTTTCTTTTTTTTTTATCATTATTGCTTGGTCTGGACATTAACTATTGAGTTAAATCAAACCTTTAGTAGATAAGATGAAAATAAGAAAACATGTGTAAGTAGACTGTCTAACGTTGTTGTGATTGGAGCAGACCTTGCTCTGAGGTATTTTAGGCTTAGTCATTGATATACAGACGTTTTCAGCAGGATATCAGGTTATCAAAAACAGATTTATCTGAGCCCCTCAGTTGTATATTTAGGCCAACACTGGGCTAGCAAGCAATAATCTAATTAACATATGAAAGAGGATATATAGTGTTTAATAAATAAATAAGATCAGGGAATGTTTTTCTGATGTAATCACTGTTTCTGACACAAACTGGTCTGTGGAATCTGACATTATTCGGGTCGTTGAACATCAATTAAACAATATTAACATATTATCACTCTGTTGAAAGCTGAAAATAGATCACTGATGTCTAACTTGCTGGTTTGTCATTCACAGCAGGAAGTCTGACAGAATGAATGAAGAAGAACTCAACTTTGTGGCATTTCACTTGTAAAATTAGCATGGTTTTAGATTCACTTTATCACAAAAATAAACATGTCTAAAGGCAGATTGGCATCAGAGTGTGAAGTGCTTTTTTAGGAAGGTACTTTCCTCAGAACTAACTTCGAGTGGGAGTCCAGAGCACTGATTATTTCCAAGAAATCAATCCTTTGCTGTTGTTTGTTTCAGCCTTACAACCTCTGGTATACAACTTTCAGTTGTATATCCTGAAAAACTGTTGAGTTTTTTTAAGGCTTCAACCCAGTATTTATGAAAATCTTAAAGACAGCTATTCACATTAACAGCAACTGATTGAAAAAAAACAAAACTCTTTAAGAAATAAAATAATACTCAGTTTCCTTTTGAGATTGATAAGGTATTTATTTTTTCTAAATAAAGTGTGATAATTCTGACCCTCAGTCTTCACCGTACTGTAAGCTGTTTGCAGTTTGGGCCGCATGGGGGCAGAGTCTGCAGCCCTGGTGCTTTGCTGCAAAAAAGGTCCTGGTTTTTAATCCCAATCCTGGGTCTTTCTGCAGGAGTCTGCATGTTCTCCTTGTGAATGTTTGGTTCTCTCTCAGTTTTTTGCTTCCTTCTTCAGTCCAAAAACAGGACTGTTTCAATCAGTTCATTGATGTTTGTACGTGTGTTTCTGTGTTGCCCTGTGATGGCAACCTCTCCATGATGCACTGCTGCCCATTGCTTTAAGACAGACCTCTACTTTGACTTCAGCTTCACCTGCTTATAGACTATAAATATAAAAAAGAAAAATGCCACAAAAATAACCAAAAACAATAAAAAAAAAGAATATCTATGTAAACATGTGTGTATGTACATTAACACATGGTATTTCTTCAATTTGAATAATCTCTAACCTTAAGATATATTTTCTTCTTTAACAGATTCAGCATATTTCAGCTACAATTGATGTTGGTTTAAATACATCTCATTAAAAACATCAAATTCCCATTTAGGAAACAAGCTTTACAGTTAAGTCAGGGGAGTGGCGGCTTAGTGGTTAGGGCATAGGGCTCCTGAGATTGGGAGTTTGATCCCCCACTCCCCCAGACTGCCACTCTGGGTCCCTTAGCAAGACCCTTAACCCCACACTGCTCCCCGGGCTGTGCACAATGGCAGCCCACTGCTCCCAAAGGGGATGGGTTAAATGCAGAGATAAATTTCTCCAATGTGAGATCAATAATGTTCAATTTATTTATTTATTTATTAAAATAATTTCTTGCTACATTTCAACAAGTTGACATTGATTAATATAAAGTTAAGCTGTAAGGAACCTAATATTTATTATTAATTTCAGTTTTACTTTACAACCAGATCTATGCAAAACAGATCTACAAAACTTGATAAGCACACAAAATGAACTATGTGACTCCGCCACAAGAGGGCGTTATAATGCCTTTTTTATATCTTGCATGCCTGCGCAACCTTATCTGATTTTGAGCAATACATACCAAGTGGGATGTCAATGGCAGTAGCCACGACTCCTATGGTGTTGGTGACAGCTTCTCCAACCTTTCTGGCCAGAGTCCCGCCTTCTTCTTCCTCAAGCTCTGACGCAAGTATTTCTGAACAAAGAAGAAAAACCAGAATAAAGCTGTGCTCACATAAAGATTAAATACCAGCATAAACAAGAAGACAAATGACATTTGGAAACACTGTGCGTGTACCTGCATATGAAGCTCTCTGCTCAAAGCAGACGTCACACACCCTGACAGGGGCAAGACCCCAGCCTCTCTCAGGGACGGGCGCAGCTTTGGACGAACAGCCGTCACAGAACCCCTCCCCACAGGCACGGCAGTGATGCTTGGTGTCATTATCCTGGAAGACCGTGTGACACTTGTGGCACATCTTGTACAAAAGAAAGAAAGAAAACACGTGTCGTTATTGATCAAGAGCAACCGGGAGGAGGGTGCAACCTGCAGTCTACGCAAGTTTCATTTTATGACAGGCATGCATAAGCTGTGCAACAAGAGCACAGCACTGCAGAGAGTAAACATCCCTCTGGACATGAAAGTGTTGACTTGGCTGCTGGTAGCGGGTGGCAGAGGGTGAGTCTGTGTGTCACTCACCATGATGAGGGAGTTGGGTTTCCAGTAGGCTGGAGCGATCTGATCTGTCAGCCAAGAGGTGACGGCCTTAGCAGGTTTCACGCTGAGCTCTGATACCGACTGGGCCACTAGATTGACGCCATCGAGAAGCCGCTGTGCAGCATTGTTGTTGTCCTTTAAAAAGCCGTCAGACTGCAAAAAAAAAAAAAAAACAGGATATCAATTTTAAATATCACAATATCTAAAGGTCTATGAAATAATAAAAGGAGTCAGTTGGATTTTTTAAAATGAGGGTCTGTAAAATTATGAGTTATATTTCTATTCATTTAGCTCATTATAGCTATCTAAAATTTTTCACATTTAACATTATACAAGAACATCTCACAAGGGATCATTGCTAATACTCCAATCATACTCCTCATTTGCTTTCATAGCCAGAGATTGGCAATATATGCTGTCTTTGATAAATAAAACTAAAAGCATCACCTTCCTACATGTTTGAAAAATCTACCATTATATTAAATGATTATCAGCTAAATACCAATATGGTCGCTGGGGGACGACCATGACTTAACGGCTAAAGCAGCATCACTGAACACTTCATCCAAATACATATTATATAAACTAGATGCAAATCAAGGGAGATCTGTGTATTTCAAAGACTAACAGGAGAGACCTTTAAACTGTTTTTGTACTACTATAAAAAGTTATGTTTATTCTGGTTTCTGGCTGCTTAGCTATGGCTCATCAATCCGCTCATCATCCGCCGTGTGGGGAGCAAAAGTAAGGATTTTTCAACGGTTGTGCAAAGACATTGGACACGAGAGATCCCTGTATTTTCCAGGTCATTTTCATCTAAAATTATCATGGCATATCAGCTGATCTATCAGTTTTTATATGCAACATATACCTTGATAATCGAATAAAACAGTAACAAACAATATACCTTTCTTGTGAAGGAATGCACTAGGGCCATTTAACCTAAGGCTCTTAAAGCTCTAGAAAATTATTTAAATTTAGATTTTCCCAGAATTTGAAAAAAATTATCAGAATTTTTTAGGGCTGCAACTAAGGATTATTTAGCAAATTAATTAATCTGTCGATTATTTTTTTTCTATGAATCGATTAAAATCGGATAGCCAACAGTTCCTTAAAGGTACCTTTTGCTAAACGTTTCCACTTGAGGCGTTGTGGAAAGAGCATATTGACAAGAAATTTTTTTTTAACCTTAAATTCAAAATATTTACATTTTATTTTACAATTTTGGTATCATTACTACTCAAGGAAGGTCACTCTGTCAGCTAAAGACAAGCTTTAGATTCTCTACACTCCAGTTAAGGATTAATTGATTACTATATTAGTTGAAGATTAGTTCAATAGTCGATTAATGATGATTAATCCAATTAATTGTTTCAGCCATAGTATTTTGACATGATGAAGTAACAAACACACTAATTTTAGTAAATTTTTCCAGTATCTTAATTCAAATAATTAAAAAACAATGAAAAAACTGATCCAAGAAAAAAAAAAAATGCTTTTTTTTTCATTAAGCACAAAGGTACGTATCAATTTCTTAATTTTCTGTCAAAATGTAACATTCAAATAAAAAAAAATCTATTGTTTAATGTTTTGTAAAAAGTCTGATATTGTTTAAATATTCTGAAACCTATGACCAGAAAAATAATGTTCCTTTGACTTATAGAATATATTATAGAACATATTTCATACAGAGCAATTCTCCTCAGAATTTAGCCTTTCACAGCGCTGAACATTTCTCCATTTTTCTGAAACTCAAAATGAATTAACATCTTTCTACTGAATAGAAGAGAATTATCACTCATAATAACGTCACCTCATTAAATGTTTTCACTTAAAAGCATTTATTTACCCCTGGCCAAACATGTTGGATCTCAGTGCGAACGACTGTATCCACAGGGTCCTGGTTGCCATACCAGTACTGGCGGCTTCGGTAGATCACTCCACAGTTTGGACATTCAATAACATACCTAAACATGTAGAAGAAGTAAAAAAAAAAGAACATTCACTACTTAACAATTGAATGTGCTTACAAAACAGGTTGTTTGCTGGAGGGTTTATTTAACAGGCACCTGTGCAGCCAGCGTCAAGATTTACAAAGTACCCGCAGCAAGCTGTGCAAAAGTTTAAAAACGGTTTGATCTTCAATAAAAAATAAAAAAGGTTACAATGACAATTTTGGGTTCTTGATTCGATAGAAGTTCAATCTTCTCTGGAGAAATGTAGGCTACCATAAAGTGTGAGGCACTAACCCTGCAGCTGGAGCAGCTGTCTGAAAGAAGGCTGCTACAAGAAAGAAAGAATTGTGAATCTTGGAAAGATTTCCAGTTGCAGAAAAACCAAGACATCCACCTATCATTTATTCAGGTCTGCGCAGCAGAGTAACGTTGTTTTGGCTTCCATGTCCCTCAGTGCATCGTCCGGGCGGACAGAATTTCCGCACTGCGCACCTAAGAAAATTTGAAACGACTCGCACAGCTGTGTGGAAAAATATGGTGGATGAGCGACAACTCTCAGGGTTATCGAATATAAAGATCTAGAAACATCTTGGGATTTAGCCCAAAAATATCACAATCACCAGACTGTGAATAAAACTACTGTCACTCTTGGATGACACCAGAAGGCTTTAAAAAAGTAGAAATCCTCTGAGATTTCTACTCCATTGTTTAGCGTGATGTTGTAGGCTTGTGTTTTGTGTTTTACACGCCTCCCCAGAGCTAGCCATAATATTAGCTACAAGCTGTATTGAGTAAAAAAGCTGCAGACTGCACACCTGTTCGCCACAGAGCGTTTGTGCCTAGAACATAAACCAAGCGTTACAGTTTAAAAACCAGGACAGCAAAAAGCTGCAACAACTTCTACAAGAGGCACCTTAAATTAACTATTACAATGATGTTTATTGGTTAGAATTGATTTCCTCACTATGTCTATGTAGATCTTATGAGTAGATCTTTCCTTTAATACTTGGAAATCAAATGCAGGTACAAATTAATGCTGGACTGTATTTAAACGAAACAGCTAAACATAAAGAGGCAAAAAGGTGAACTTAGTGTATGTATCAAAAAGACCTATAAATAAAATGAACTGATTAACACCATTATTTTACCAAAGTATAGAAGCAGTAGGAAAAACCATACTTGTTTGTTTTTTATTAAATCCAGTAGATAAAGTCCAACCAATGAATAATGCTTTAGGTTATCACACGTTTAGGATCTAATGATGACCTATGTCTGGAATAATGACTAAAAGCATTGAGATACAGAAAGCCTTTCCTTACAGGTCAGATTTATTGCTACTCACCCAGACCAGGCGTATCTGGCCAGGCCCATCCATGGAGAGTCTGAGGAAGCTGAAGTCTTCGGGACAACTATCATTTCCTTCCCTCCTTCATAACAAGCCTAAGACAAATTTTTTTTTTTTTTTTGAGATACATCTAATAAATAAATCAAACACTATATTTCTGTGTTGTGTTAAAAAAGGAAATAATAAAGCAGGGTGGAGCCACTATGCTTACCTTACACGTATAAATGCGATTATCATACTGAGCAGAGTAACGGCAGCGTTGCTTCGCCTCATGGTACGACCCTTCATGCAAGTGGTTCATACTATTTTTGCATCCAGATCTGAAATAAATTAGATTTTATTCATTAACTTTAAATTTAATGTTTTGGGGAAGGCATTTTTGAAATTTTTTTAGAAGGTAGAAATGACTGACCCACAACTGAGGCAAAAGCTGGAACAGGTGAAGTACTCATCAGGGAAGAAGCAGCTTTGTGTTGCAACCTCACCTGCGATTTCTCCATTAAAGCGTTCACTCAGTGCCTGTATGCACAGTGAGGAAAAACAAAATCTCTTACAGATATATTACAAGGATCAGCTTAGTCTACTGAAGCAACTAGAGAGATGAAAGAAGAGTGATGAAAGAGTCAGCTGACATGCTGCTCTACCTGCAGGGCTTTGAAGATGACGCCTGGGGCACGAGGCGAGCGGGTGGCATTGTTATCCAGGAGCTGATCCAGTTTATTCTGCAAGCCCCGAAAATCAGTGGGAGGACTGAGAGTCTGTGTGCCCCAATATTGGACGGAGCTGAAGGCTTCCGGAAAACGGGAAAGCTTCCTAAAGCGCTCCAACAGCAGCCGATCCACAGAGTCCGACGATTTATCTACAATAAAACAAAGATGGTATAAAACATTCATCAAAGTGAATAAGCAGTATTTACATTATTTCAACCACTCATTGTGAATCAACATTTTTTATTTCTTTCCTAATGCAGTTTTCCCTATAGAAGACATTTATGTTTGGTTTTTTTTGCACTAAAATCTAGATTTTAAAGCAATGTAAACACTCCAACCATGTTTTGAAACAAGGTTGTAAAATAAATATAATCAACAAAAGAAAAATAACCATAACCTGGTAATAATCAGTTACTACAATGCTGCTTCAATCAATCCATTTGCTATAACTTCAAATGGGTTATGTGGTCAGAGAGTTTTTATTGACACTTTTAAAGTCCTGTTCGTTCAACATAAAGTAATTGGTAAGTCCTCAAAATGTAAAATTAAAGCTCCTGTACATGGTCCAAAAAACCAAAATATTAACTAGGAATCAATAACATCTAAACCTGAGATTTATATGGCTTGATAATTTAGTAAAAATACTTTGAGTAAATAGACAGAAAGACATATTACAGACTCGTAGTATATAGAAAAAAACTGTATAAATATGAGGATGTCTCACCTGAACCCAGGAGCTTGGTGTGGACAGTTTCATGGAAGATGACCACAGCAGGGCCCAGGGTGGACAGCGGGACATCCAGGCCACAGCGAGCCGTTGTGGCTTTTAGCTCCTTAGTGAAATGCCTCAGATAAGCATCAGAGGCATCGCCGAGGAACTTGAAAAGGTCGTCGTGGAGGCGGTCGGCATGAGTGCGATAAATGATGAGATCTGAAATGGCGAGCACCTTGAGAAGTAAACGAGTTCTTTGACCCTGTTTGGAGCTGTTACCAAGCAGCCCCTCTGTATCGATGACCACAATCTTATGGATGGGGTCAAATGCTGCCCATACACCCACTGTGCAGGACTCCTGAGTGGGGGAGGTTTTGAAGACTTCTCTGCCCATGAAGAAGGTGTGGTTCAGAGTGTGGGATTTGCCCTCCCCTGTGTTACCAAAGATGGAGACCACCTTCAGCAGTAGATTGGGGCTGCAGCCAAGAGCCCTTATGAATGAGGCTTCATCTTTTATCTTGAGGGGAACAAACAAAGAACATGGAGTATTAGCAAATCTAGGCCTGACAGAAAAGGGGCCGAATAAACACAAGTAGGGATTTACTTCCTTACAAAATAACCTAACTGTTGAATAAATAAATCAACATGTGCATTAGCTTGCTACTGCTTCATAGCCTGTTAAGGTAAGCTGACGGGGAGATGTTTCTGCATACAGGGTAAAAACAGAGGATTTTTTTTTTTATGGTTTGGCATCAAGATGCCCACCTGAGAGGGAATTTATCTCCAAGACACAAACTTTTAAATACAGGAAGTAGTGGGATTGAACTACAGAGGACCAAGGAACAATGGAACAATTCATTGGATTTATCAGTTATTGAAAAATTCATCTAATTTAGTTGCTTAATCATCAACTTGAGTATAGAGACTCTAAAACATGCCTTTAGCTGACAAAACAACCATCTAGGAGCAGTAAATATACAATAAATTTAAAAAAAAAACATATACAAACATTTTGCATTTAAGATAAAAAAAACAAACAAAAAAAACGTTCTTAGTATATCAATATAAACTTTCCAAAGATCCTCAAGTGGAAATGTTTTAGGTTCTACCTTGTTTAAATTCAGTGAAAAATCTTTAAGAAAATTCTGCCTTCCATTGTTAATCAATTAATAAAAAAAAAAAAAAAAAACATTGGCAGATTATTCAATAAGCAAAATTATCTTTGGTTGCAGCCCTGGTAACAATAAAATGTTTCCCTTGGTCATGCTGAAATTAAGGAATTATAAATAAACATGCCTAAAAAAATAATTAATTAAAACACCTTCAATGAGAAATGTACCCAACGATCTAAAACAAATTTAGAGATGAACAAATGTTTTTTTGTTTTTTTTTCCCAACACAACATAATGTTGTGTTTGGAGACCAAAGAAAGGGAAAACTTTAGTAACTCAGGGACCAAACCATCAGAATTTTATACTCTTTAATAACCTATAGATCTTTTTTTTTTTCAAAACTGATCTACTCCTCATTAAATGCCTAATAAAATGTTAAATATGCAACTTCAGTGTGGAAAAGAAATATCTAAAATGAAACACTGAAGTTGTAACGGTTTTAAAAAGCTAATTCACAGTCAGTCTATAAAAGTTAATCAATAAATTTACCAGTGAGTTGAAAGAGCAGCAGTGATGGTAAAGGGATTTAAACATTATTCGCATTGGAAGAGCTCACCTGCATTTTTTCATTCTCGTCTACAAGGAGAAAGCTGGACACCTTCTCCAGAAGCCTTGTTCTCTCGGTCGACTCGGCCACATCTGGGCTCTGAACCGGTGTTTTGGTTGACGTTTTGGAGCTCCCTTCAGGAGGTTTGGGTGATGGAGGATAAGATACGAGCTGGTGTTTTTTCTTGCTACTTCCACTGTGGGTACGTTTCTGACAGTCTTGACACAGATTCAGTTTACAATTCTGGCAGCGAACGACAGACCTGTGGCGTTTGCTGCTATCCCCGTTCCCTCCTTTGCAGTTGTCACAGTAAGGAACATGCCCAGGACCAACAGGGACCCGATCGTGGTTCCTTAGGTGCTCCTGACGGTGGAGCTCCAGATCACACCTGACACACTGAAGAGTTTTGCAGTCATCACACTCAAATGCAGCCTCTTCAGAGCCGCTGCAGGAATAATTCTCCTGACATATTAAGCTTGTATTGACTCCCTTTTCAGATGATGAGCCATGGCCACTCATTGTTTATTAAAAGATAACCTTTAATTCTGATTATTACTTATTGCAACAAGTTTGACAGAAACAGAAAATGGCTTTAAAGATAAAGTGAAATGCACATAAACTAATACTGTAATGCTATTAATAAATAAGCTTATGACATCTGCATGGTGGTAGGTTGAGCTGCACTGCCTTTAACAAGTGATAAAAACTTTAAATTAGATTTTAAATATTCAGAAAATGACAGTGCAGCTAATAGCAGGGCTAACAGATATAAACACTAACAGCTAGCTTGTTGAAGTTGGCATTTACCTTAAACTATATGACTATCTTTCGATTTTACAACTTTATTTTCTGACTAGATAAATGTAAAACTTAGATAAATAAAGGAAAAATTAATAGGAGAGTACAGACAGTACCAAACGAATAACGGGAGCTTTTTGTGAGAGGAATAAATATGTAAATGTTGATGCTAGATAGCAAAACAAAAATGAGCAGAGATGCTAACTGCTATAACGCGATGTGATGAATTTGGCTTAAAAGTAGCCTTGTTTAGCAGTACGTGTGTGAACTTTTCCTCCAAAGAGAAGCAGTAAAAGCTAACGCTACACGTCCAAACAAGCAACTAGCTCCCTGTTTGTCAACTGAACTGAAGAGGTAAAAAACTAGCCGGGGTAAAAGAACCGCTGATAAACACGGGTTGTTAAACTTTACAACGGGAGGAATATCTACAAAATTCCCTTGTAAAATTCCTTTTAAAGGCTTACTGTTTTTGACTCGTTCCGAGCAGTGTCATTGTTTTGTTCTTTAGCCCCCCCTCCCTTGCAGATGTCAGTAGCTATGTTGTGTTGCTAGGTCAGATCAGCTGATTTTTCTTCTTCTTCTTATAGAAATTTTCATGCCGGTTGTCAAAAACGTTAGGTGAGCATTACCGCCACCAACTGGTAAGGAGTGTGTACCACATGGCAAAAAAAAACAACAACTATATCCTGTTAGACAATTCAATCTGTTGCAAAAACTCAAATATAACCTGATTCCTTTTGCAGTAAATCAGCAATTTCCAGTTTCATTTTCATATTACTAAGTTTCCTAATTAACTTGTTTTCTCTGAATCAAATATTTCCCATATAAATATTTTCCATATTAAAAAAAACGACCTACTCAATCCTTTGTGTCCTATTCTAAGTCGTGAAATAATTATCTCTTCTCTCCAGCTGATCTGATTATTTGAGGCAAGGGAAGGTGAAGGAGGAAGTAGAGTACTGTGGCATGATGGGAGATGTAGTTCAATATGTCATGCTGGGTATTGGACACAGATTCACCATCAGAATGCATTAGTTTCACGTTTTATTAAAGTACTACAGTTACCAACTCAAATGTGTTTTATTGGGGATTTTTGTGATAGATCGATACTATGTAAAACATTTGAAGGACAAGGAGAATTTGGACGTTTTATAAACAAAAATGTGAAAAATGGGATGGGTATTTTATGAATGTTTTATTTTTGTTATCAACTTGTACTTATTTATTTCAAAAATAAATTCCTTCTTGTAATAAAGGCAAATGTGTAGAGTACGTGGCGGAATCCCTGCAACTCAACTGGAGTAACCATGGGCTTCTTCACTGCTTCTCTGAATATTATTGATCTTTTTTTCCAGCATTTTATAGTTATTACACTGTCACAAGTACAGGGCAACTAATTGACTCACTGCATTTAACCCATCCCCTTGGGGAGCAGTGGGCTGTCATTGTCTGGCGCCCAGGGCGTAATCAGGGGTTAAGGATCTTGCTCAGGGACCCAGAGTGGCAGTCTGTGGGAGTGGGCCTTGAACTCCAACAGACTGAACTAAGCACAATGCCTAAGCAATCAAACGGAAGCTAGTTTCAGCATCTTGTATCCAGGATTTTGATCTTTTGGTCATGATCCATATTTCATGACCATGAGGGTAGAACCCTAGGAAGGAGTAGGATCTAGAACTGAGCTCTCTCTTCACCTTAACAGATCATTGGAGCGTTCTCATTGTAGCAGCAACACTGGAAATTTAACACCTTGATTTTGCCATGTATACATGAATACTGATGATGTATGATCAGACATAGCCTGCTTTTCTCACTCTATCTGAAAGCAAAAGGTTAACATCTAAAAAAAAGAGTATTTCTTTAGAAAAAAAAAACATTTTACCATTAGATTGATGATGATAATTATAATATAATTCCTAATTATTACTTAAATATGTTTCAACATTAGTAAAATCTTATATACAGAACTTACTCTTGATGCTTTGCTTTGCTGTTTCATATTATTTCTGGCTTTTTGCTTTGCGTGCACTGGTTGCATGCACTGAAGTGGATGTTACAGCTTTCATTCTAGTCTAATTTTAACAATTGTTGTTGAAGTGCCTTTACGGTTGTGTTTAAAGGCAACAGAAAAAGTATTATCTGCCCAGCTTTGAGACTTTGCTGAGTCATCGCTCAGTACTCCATGTGATTCTGAGCTGTGATCCTCTCATCTGTCCTGCCTGAAGCTCACTGATCAGCTATAATGTGCAATTTTGAAGGTCAGACCGAGGTCCAACCAGAATTTTGGAGGAGGTTTGCAATGTGGATCGGTGAAATCCTCATAAAAGAGATGTCATGGAAAGATACCAGGTTGACCAGGGTCAAAAAAAACTCCTTACAAATCTAATAAGGCACAGTGATAAGCAAATAATTAACATTCTGTGTATAAAATTTTGTCAAAATCACCAGGACCTGCTGCATCTATTAGTTTGATCATTTAGAATTCAATAAACAATACCTCTAAGCTGGATAAAAATGAAGATTAGTCCTACCACTGTAAATCAGCTACATTTATAATTAGATGAAACTGATTATCATTCTAATGAAAACATAAGATGCCTTCTGTCTCTATTCCCTAGTGCAAAGGCAGTTTTGACAAATGGAATACAGACCAACATCTTTAATCAAGACAGTTAGAGCATAATGGTGGATAAAGAGCTATTATTTCACCCCAAGGCGTCAGCATTGAGACCAATACTGATTATTCCCCACATAACTTACACATGTAAGATTTGAAAAATACTAAATGTTTTATTTGCAGAAGCTGAGAGTTGAGAGCAGCTCAATGATATAACAGAAATGATAACTAAAAAAACAACTTTAACAAAAACAAAATGTCAATTAATTAAAAGAAAACTACGTTTTTATTATTTAGTAATTATAAAAGGACTATAGATATGAAAATCAAAGTTGATAGGATAAATGTGTAGAACGGGTACATTAATGCTGCGTTCACACCGGACGCAGGTGGTGCGACAGAAGCAGCGAGTTTACATGCAGCAAAAGGTCCCGCGGCGCGTTTTGAGCAGCAGGCGCAGCGCGTCTGAGCAGCTGAAGCAGTGAGTCGGGCGCGTTTAAGCATCTGACGTGCGTGACGCGCCGCAAACGCGTTGCTGCTCTAGATGGAAAAATTTAATTTTTGCTGCTCGACGCGCCGCGTCAACCAATCAGAGAAGCTGATCTGGGAGCTGGCTGGGAGAGAGACACAGCGCTGATGACACAGACCGCTCTGATCACTCCTCTTAAACAGTTTATTAACGCATAATTAACTTAAAATGCATACATCTGCCGGCAGAATATGTTCGCTTTAATTATTCTGGTGCCTGCAGATCGGATTATTTAGATGAAAAACACCTACCAGCCGCCACGGTGAACCGCGAGGAGGCAACCCGGCCAGAGGCTGCTGTTGAAGGGATTCCTTCTGTCGGCGCACCGCCGGTATGTGGGGGTCTGAGCGGCTCCGACAGAAATAACATTGGGAGGCAGGAATGTAATCTGGATGAACTGACTGCACTGATTAAGTTTTCAGGTGTATTTTCTCACTTAAAAACATATTAAAACTACTTTATTCCCACTGATCACAGCAAATATAGCTGCTAGGCAGAGAAAGGATAGAGTAGCTCCGCCCAACGCGCGTCAGAGCCACTTTTGCACCGCACAGGCAGAGCAGCAAAGCTGCTTCAGCCGCACGTCAGAACTAACTGGTACAAGCAGCAAAAAGGAAGCAGCAGACGCGATTTTGCTGCTTTTGCTGCGTCCGGTCTGAACGTAGCATTAGAGACTGCTTGCACTTTCTAGAACAATACACTAGGGGGCAGCCTAGAGACCTTGTGTATACTTGCCAGCATTTACCATCAGAACTGGGCTACCTTAAAGCTAAAAGTCTTATTTCTGAACATTTTGAAAACGAATATAAAATTGCACAGGCCTATATGGACAAAAATAACTACTGGCCTGCTATTAAAAATGAGGACTTTAATCACTGCAAGCATTTTCTCTGTTTTTACAGTTTACAGTTTTTACAATTCTGTTGTTGAGGAGGCTAAAAACTCTACCAGTTTTTTCATCTCCTACTTCTCATCAGGATCATGACATTAAAAACGTCTGTAGCTTGGGTTTTAAAGCTCAAAGAACTCCTCCTTCAGCCGTCTCAAAAACGAAAAGAGTTTTCTGCCATGAAGCATCAGTCTACAGATGATGTAAAAATTAAAGGGCAAATGGTTTCACAAAAAAATGCAGCAATTTAAAGCTATGCTGAAAAATCAGTGTTTGAAATTTGAAGATCTGACTACAGCAGAGCAATTAATTATTCTCTTTGAACAACAGCATAGGTTTGGAGCAGAGATCAGTCACTCAGAGCCACAAAACCGTCTGTAAAGACAGCCAGCTGTACAGACTAGATCCAGTGGACGATAATGGAGTCCTCAGAGTTGGCGGACATCTTAAAAGAGCTGCTATGCCATCTGAAATTAAGCATCCGGTCATCCTGTGTAAAAACATGCATGCAGCAACATTAATTCTGCTTTACATTCACCGTCTGCTTGGTCATGCAGGAAGAAACCACATGTTGGCCATGCTCCATCAGAGATACTGGATAATCAATGCAAACTCTGCTACCAGAAAGATCCTGTCTGACTGTATCACCTGCAGAAGAAATAGAGGAAAGCTTCTGGAACAAAAATGGCAGACCTGCCCCAGGAAACGGTAGCACCAGATAAACCCCCATTTTCAGATGTTGGTGTAGATTATTTTGGCCCCATTGATGTTAAAAGAGGCAGAAGTCTTCTCAAATGTTATGGAGTATTATTTACTTGCCCAACTAGTTGTGGCGTTCATTTAGAGGTGGCTCATACCCTTGACACTGATTCTTGCATTAATGTAATCAGAAGATCCATCTGCAGGCACGGTCCAGTCTTTTCCATCAGGTCAGATAATGGCACAAATTTTGTGGGAGCCAACAGAGAACTAAAAGAAAGTCTGGCTGCCTTAAACCAGAGCAGAATCCAAAAGGCTCTGGTTCAGGATGGCATAAACTGGCATTTCAATATATCTGCTGCTTCACATCAAGGGGGCATCTGGGAGCGCTTGATCCGTTCAGCCAGGAGTGTACTCACCTCAGTTCTAAAACAGGTTGTGGATGATGAAACACTACAAACTGTTTTCTGTGAGGCTGAAGCCATTTTGAATGACTGACCAATCACTTTGGTCTCTGAGGATCCAAATGATTTAGAAGCCCTCTCAACAAATAACATTCTGACATTAAAGAGGAAACCCGTTCTGCCACCTGGACTGTTTCAGAAACAAGACCTGTACCTCAGGCGTAGATGGAAGCAAATACAGTATATGGCTGAACTATGTTGGAAAAGATGGATCTCTGAGTGTCTGCCATTACTGCAGGAAAGACAAGTGGATGAGACGGAAAAGAAACATCTCTCCTGGAGACATTGTCCTGATCGCAGATGCTACCGCAGCCAGAGGATGGGGAGAGTCCTGGCAGTCAAAGCTGATGCATGAGGCCTGGTTCGTTCAGTGCAACTTCAGAC